CAGTGGGAGACGGAGGAGGAGGAGGAGCAGGGGACGGCTCACACACCCGCCACCCCCATAACCGCCACCCCCATACCCGCCACCCCAAGATCCAAACGCAAGCGGGGCGAGGCGGGTAGCAGCTGGGGCGGCGTGCGAGCGGAAAGCAAGGCGGGGCGCGGGTCCGTGGGGCGCTGCGACGGGCGAAGAACACGGCGGCGCGCGGGCCCCCAGGGCGTCGCGACGGACGACGGGGGGGGGGGGGGGCGACGCGCGGGCCCCCAGGGCGCCGCGACGGGCGATGGGAGGGGGGCGACGCGCAGGCCCCCAGGGAGCCGCGGCGGGCGACGGGAGGAGGGGCGACGCGCGGGCCCCCGGGACGGCACGACGGGCGACGAGGGGGGGGGGGGGGGGGGCGACGCGCGGGCCCCCAGGGCGCCACGAAGGGCGACGGGAGGGGACAGCATGCGGGCCCCGGGGCGCCACGACGGGCGACGAAAACCGCCGCGCGTTCCCGGGGCGCGCGGCGGGCAGGAAACCGCCACGCGCCCCGAGCGCATGGTGGGCAGAAAACTGCCACGCGCCCGAGCGCGTGGCGGGAAGAAAAATTGAAGATCGCACGCCACGGGGCGTGCGACAGACAGTATGGCAGCGGAAGCAGGCGGGCCCACAGGCCAGGAGCGTAACCGCTCTGATAGCATATCAAAGTAGTAGGCAGAAAGTAGAAACAAGAAAAAGGGGTTGCACTAGTAAGCAGGGCAGTACATATAGCAAACCCTAATCGGGCTTGTACTCACTAATAGAGTACCCCACTGCAGATTAGACAGATGACACATTCTCACAGAATTTTCCTCTAAGCCTTTGTAGCTGTGTAGGCTTCACCTGTGGGCAACGGGGAGCCTTAACACTGTGCTGCGGGGAGAGAATATTAACTCCACGGAATGCACAACCCTTTTCTACGCTCTGTAATGCTTTGCCCAACTTCTCTGGTACCTGAATAATATCTAGAAGCAATATTTTTTGTTAGAGTATCTTTATAGGATACTTTAACGAATTCTTACTTTCGTGGGTGTTCTGCTCGAGTTTCCCGGTCGGTGCAGAGTCTATTTCGCGGAGCCTCCATTCGCCTCGACGATTTCCCCTGATGTCGGCCGGTCGTGACGTTTTATATTCTCGCCATCATTTTTCTCCTTTTTCCGCCCGCTCCGAAGTCGCCACGCCGTCGCCATTTTTTCCCTTTTCGGATCTTTACGCGATCGCCAGGTCGATCCGCGGCTACTGGCGATTCCCGTTTTTTGAATTCTTGGGTGCTGTCGTCGCGGCCCTGCCTGACGCCGCTGCGGCCCTGCGGTCGCGGCCCTGCGGTCGCGGCCCTACCTGGAGCCGTCGCGGCCCTGCCCTGCCGCTGTTGCGGCCCTGCCCTGCACCCGCCGTCGCGGCCCTGCCGGCCGCCGCCACGGCCCTTCCTGTAGCTACCGTCGCGGCCCTGCCTCCAGCCACGGTTGCGGCCCTTCCTGCAGCCGCAGTCGCCAGCCCTGCCTACAGCTGCGGTCGCGGCCCTGCCTCCAGCCGCAGTTGCGGCCCTGCCTGCAAGCCGCGTCGCAGCCCTGCCACTGCCGCCTCGTCGCGGCCCTACCTGTCGCATCCCCCTGCCCTGCCGGTGCGCCACGGCCCTGCCCTTCCAGTCGCGGCCCTACCCGATCCCGCCCGTGGTAAGCGCACCGCCACACCCACGCTGCCCTAGAGCCGCACCGCCCTACCGAGCCGCGCCGCCACTACTAAGCCGCGCCGCCCTGCCGAGATCGCGCTGCTGCTGCTGCTGCTGCTGCTGCTACTGCTACTGCTACTGCTGCTGCCGCCATGGCTAGCCCTAATGTCCTTACCTTTGATGCTGAGGGTCGAGCAGTCGATTTGAGGTCTGGGTCGATGATCTGCAGCTTTTTCTGTAGTGCGACTCTAGGGACGGAGTCTCACTGTTCGATCACACGTCCGGCGTCTCTGTCGCACCTCCTGTTGATGCTGACAGTGTAGTTCGCGTCGCAGTGGACCACGCGTGATGCTGCTGCTCGTCTTTCTGTTCGTAGTCACCTGCCGTCAGCTGAGTGCGCGCACTTTAGCCAGTACAAGACTGCTAAGACTGTCGTCGTGGTTCGCGTCAGCGTCCCTCCTCCTGTCCTGGCACGCACCAGATGGCTCTGCGTCCTTCCACTGCACTCCGCAGGGTCACTTGTCCCTCTACCGTCTCCTCCTGCATCCTCCCTTCCTGTCAGTCCGGACTCGATGTCTGACTCCCTTCGTGCTGCTAGTCCTACTGTCACGTGTCCTCCTGGCCACTGTTGTCACCGACCCTCCCTTTGAGTCTACTGCTGCGTCTGCTCTTGTTGCTGAGCTTATCGACTTTGCTGCTCGCTGTCGCCTAGGCTACGCCGCTAGTCTTGTATGCTGAAATCTGAGTCTGTCTGTCCTCCATCCGTCAGGGGTGTGTGTGCCCTTAGCAACGGACGTCCTTGAGGGACAGGCAGAGGAGTTCCAGGGAGTGTTTTGCTGCCTTGCTTCACCACATCTCGTGTCCATGCTGCTTGCCCCCGAGGGAGACCCGGATGCACCAGGCAATCCCGACCCCGCGCTCTTACGCAGAGTGGCGGTTGAGGGTCCACTACTCCTCTCAGTGGCAGACAGCCATGCACGCAGAGATGGGCTTCCTGGAAGTCCACAGGCATTTACGTTGACGAGGTTTCCCCGCCTGGGGCGAACATTGTCGATGGAATGTGGATTTTCAGGGTGTGAAAGCGGCCGCCGGGTTCTCCGCCTGTCTTCAAGGCGCGTATTATGTTGCTCGAGGCTTCAGTCACCGACAGGGAGTTGCACGTCGGGGTACTGCTGCAACGTCGCCGCTCAGCGTGACAAACGAGCTTCACTCTCTTGACTTCAGCACAGCCTTCCTACAGGGCAGCCTGCACGAGGAGATCTGGCTGCGCCGCCCACCTGGCTTCACTGGGTCGTTCCCTCCTGGTACCCAGTGGAGCCTCTGGCGGCCCAGTCTACGGTCTCCGCCAGGTGCACTCGGGAGTGGCACGGACACACTGAGGGACGACTCTTGCGGATCTTGGGTTTGCTCCTTCTACTGCTGACCCCGTCGCTGTTTCTACGCACCGACACTTCGTGTGCCGCCGTTCTACATCCTCGTGTACGTCGACGACTTGGTTTTTGCCCCTGCTGACACTGAGGTACTGACTCTAGTGAAGTCGGAGCTGCAGAAGAGGACACGTGTGCACAGACGTGGGTGAGCTGCGCAGCTATCTTGGCATGCAGATCACTCGGGACAGAGCACGCAGCACCATCACCCTGACTCAGTCACACATGGTGCAGCAGGTCCTTCAACGCTTCGACTTCCAGTACTCCTCGCCACAGTCCACTCCTCTGCCTACCGGTCACTCGCTCTCAGCTCTGCCTTCGGATGAGTCCGTAGAGCCGAGTGGCCCATATTCAGAGCTTGTGGGCTGCCTCATGTACCTGATGACCTGCACTCGTCCTGACCTTGCTTACCCTCTTAGCATCCTGGCATGCTACGTTGCGCCCGGGAGACACAGACCAGAGCAATGGAAGTCAGCTAAGCAGGGTGAGTGCGCTACTTGTGCAGTACCGTCGGGGCATTGGGCTCGTGCTTGGGGGACGGGGTCCGTTGTTCCTCACTGGTCACGCAGAAGCTTCTTGGGTTGACAACTTGGCTACGCAGCGGTCGTCACAGGGTTATACCTTCAGCCTTGGCTCCGGTTCTTTCTCTTGGCGGTCTACCGCGTCGTCTTCTGTTCTCAGCTCGAGCTGTGAGGTGAGATCTACGCAGGGGCCATGGCTGCACAGGAGCTACACTGGTCTCACCTACCTGCTGACCGACCTGGGCGAGGCGCCTCGTTCTCCTCCAGTTCTGTATGTCGACAACAAGGCAATGCTTGCCTTGTGTCGCGAGCAGAGACTGGAGCACAGAACGAAGCACATCGCATCTTCTCGCTACTTTCTTGCTCGAGAGCTGCAGCAGCATGGTCAGCTTCGTCTTGTTTACGTGGCCTCTTCAGGCCAACACGGGTGATATCTTCACCAGGCACTTCAGCCTTGTGATCATCAGCGGTTTCTGTACTGTTTCTAGGCCTTGTCCCCACTTGGCCTCACTTGCTCACTTCTTGACTTGTGCTTGTACTATGATCTCTATATATATACCTGCATGCTTACACTTGCTAGGTTTGTGATCACTGTCTTTGTTTGTGTCTACTTTATATAACTCTGCGTGTGAACTGGCCTTGTGGCCGTTTGCGTGTGCTCGGAATGTGTGGTGACGTCGTGATCCACCATGAGCTTGCTTTGCTCTTTTTGACTGTGTCTCTTGTGACCTCTTGTTCTTCCACTTCGCCTATGGGGGTTGTGTCAAACTTATATGCTGTAGTCTGTGTAGGCTGTAGTGGGGTAGATAATATGGGGTACAACACTTTTAGGTTTCTACTTGTACCCCACCTTTTTCCTAGTCAATTCATTCACTCGTACTTTTCTCACACTTCTGTGTACACTTGGATTTTTTTGCCCTCGGTCAGGTCGATGATGCGGGCGAAAAGCTGCTCCATCTGCTGCATATACAGTGCTACATTCGCGAGTTGCTTGTGTCGGTGAATCTGCTGCCGCACATGTACACCGAATTAATTGGCTCAAAAAGTTCGACGAGGTCTGCCGAAACCGCGCCCACGGTTTTTCTCCTCGCGGGCCACGTCACTGTAGTAAGTCCGCTCGAGTGCTGGTCCTGGCTACAGTGTCGCTGCGAGCCGAATCTGCTTGCGTCTTGTATCGGGATCGAAGAGCCATGGCCTCAAAGTATTTTTTGAGGGTCGCCATGTCACAAAGTATGAACGTAAGCACGTCTCCCCGCAACGTCTCCCCACTGCGCTCGCCGGTGGAGAACGTAAGCACAAGGACCAGCACCCCCAGACCTCCACGCCCAGCGTACCACTCACGAAGCTGCTCGGGCCAATAGGGTCTCACGAGAACGCTGCTGCTGCTGGCGCTGGCCACACCAAGGCCGCACCGCTGCCAGCGCCACCCCCGACCAGCACCACCGCCGCCACCACCCCCACCCCCGCTGCCGCCTCGCCACCTCCACTGCCGCCCAGCCGCGCCGCCGCCGCCTCCACCTCCACCGCCGCCACCAAAGCCCCAATCCCGCGCCACACCCCCACCTCCACCCCACTCCCTCCGCCGCCTCCACCGCCACCACCGCCGCCCTCGCTGTCTCCTCCAGCACCCTTGCCCCGCTTGCCCCCGGCCGCTGCGGCGCCTCCCACTGGGAGCAGACGCAGCGCCGACCGATCTCGGTGCCAACGAGGTCGACAGCAGCAGCAGAGGCAACAGAGGGCAAAAGGGGGACGGGGGTGCACCCCTCAAAGAAAGGGTCACGAGGGTCATTACGGGAGGCTCCTACAGCAACTATACTCTCTCTCAGCTGCAAGGAGGCGCTCCTCAAGGAGGTCAACGGTGTGAGGTGGTGGGGAAAAGGGAGAGGAAGTGGTCCTTGACTGAGGGAAGGGAGTCAGGGAGCGGCGGGTGACGAGGTAGTAGAGGGTGATGTACATCGGGGGGGGGGGGGGGGGGCGGGCGGGTGGCGGCGCAAAACTCGGGGGGAAGCGCAGCGCGGTAGCGTGTGTCACTAGTGCGGAGGTGCGTAATGAGTCAGCGACTGTGGCAAAAGCGGCTAGGTCAGGAAACAGGTACGGTAGCATGAAGCGGCTAAGGGCAGCAGTGGCAGGGGAGGAGAGTAGCGCGCAACACACAGCGTCGTACAGCGTCTTAGCCATCTTGTACTGGCTAAAGTGTGCGCGTTCAGCAGACAGCAGGTGGACTACGAACAGCAAGACGAGCAGCAGCATTGCGCGTGGTCCACTGCGAGCGAACTACACTGTCAGCATCGGCAGCAGGCGAAATAGAGACGCCAGACGTGTGATCGAACAGTGAGACTCCGTCTCGAGAGTCGCACTACAAAAACAGCTGCAGATCATCGACCCAGACCTCGAAATCAACCGCTCGACCCTCAGCATCGAAGGTTAGTACAGTAGGGGTAGCCATGACAACAGGAACAGCAGCAGTAGTGCTAGCCAGCAGCAGCAGAAATAGTAGCAGCGTGACTCGGCAGGGCGGCGCGGCTCCCGCAGGGCGGCGCGGCTCGGCAGTGCAGCGCGGCTCGGCAGGGCGGCGCGCTCGCAGCAGGGCGGCGCGGGCGCGGCGGTGTGCTTACCAGAAGCGGGAGGGGTGGAAGGGCCGCAACTGGTGGGGCAGGGCCATGGCACGCCGCCGACGGGGCAGGGGTCGCGACAAGCAGGGCCGCGACACGGGTGCAGGGGCAGGGCCGCGTCAGGCAGGGCTACGCAGGCAGGGCAGGGGGCCCGACGTTGCCGGCAGTGCAGGGGGTCGCGACAAGGCGGCAGGGCCGGGCGGCAACCCGGGCGGCTGCTGCAGTGTAGGGCCGCGACAAAGCAGGGCTGCGGCAGGGTAGGGTAGCGGGCCGCGACGACGGGGCGGGCGGGACGCGGAGGGCCGCGACGACGCGGGCGGGGGCGGGCCGCGGAGGGCCGCGAGACGGGGCAAGGCGGGCCGCGGAGGGTCGCAACGATGGGGCGGGCGGGCCGCTAAGGGCGACGGCGGCAGGGCGGGCCGCTAAGGGCCGCTAAGGGCGGCGACGGGCCGCTAAGGGCGGCAGGGCGGCCGCAAAGGGCGGCAGGGCGGGCCGCTAAGGGCCGCGACGGCAGGGGGGGGCCGCTAAGGGCTCGACGGGCCTAAAGGGTAGGGCCGCTACGGCGGCAGTAGGGCAGAGCGCGATGCGCGCCTTCGGGCAGGGCAGGAAAAAAAAAGTACTAACACGGTGGGGCCCTAAAAAAAAACGTTCCCACTAGGGAACCTGCTATGAAACTAAGTCAGAAAGTATGAAACGAGAAATGACTAGAAACAGGGCAGTACAAGGTTTGTATAGGCAAAACCTAACAATACTGTAAGCCATAAAGAGTGCCCCACTACAGCCTACAATATAGTTCTGAAACGCCACAAATCGTCGAACGTCCGATCCCTTCGCGCTTGGATCGAATGCTCGGGGAGCCTCGGGCGAGCTGCTTCGAGGTTTGGCTGTAGGTGGTGCAATTGGTCCGTGAAAAGTCGGTATCGCAGCTGCTGCTGTTGCTGTCACTGCTGCGTTCGCTGCTGCATTGCTGCTGCGGTGGCCGGCTACGGATTGTTTGTCAGAAGGGTCCTCATTCGTCGAATCGCCGCCTACGTCTGTCGCTCGTCGTCGCGTAGTTGTCGCCTTGG